ACACACGCATACAAAACACACACACATGCACACAAAACACGCACCCAACCACACAAACACACACCGAAAAGACACACACACACACACACATACACACACACACACACACACACACGCACACAATAAATCAATTAGTCAGTCAGTCACTCCATCAATCAATAAATCAATAAATTAGTTTTGTCAATCAATCAATGAGTCAATCAATCAGTTAGTCAATCAATCAATCAGTTAGTCAATCAGTCAATCAATCAATCAATCAGTTAGTCAATCAGTCAATCAGTCATTCAATCAATCATACAATCAGTAAGTCGATCAATCATACAATTAGTCAGTCAGTCGGTCAGTCAATCAATGAATCAGTCAATCCATTGATCAATCAACCAGTATGTCAACCAATGAATCAATCGAATAATCAATCGGTCAATCATTCAGTTAATCAGTCGGTGAACCAGTCGGGTTCATTTGATCGTGATATAATCGATAATTGTTTGGTCTCGATGTGCAGAACGGTGAGATCATGAAGTGTACATACCAAAAAACAGTGAACAACGATGTTCGGGGAAAGTTGGCGGTCGTTGATGAGAGTCTGCGTAAATTTGATATTCAATGGAAGTGGTCGCTGCCAGTCTACGTGAAGCCGATACAGCGCTTGCTTCACTTCGAAAACCATCGTTCGTCGCGGATAATGTTCTCCGCTCTGTAGTCGGGACGAAGGGAAGAAAAACAATAGCAGATTGCTTGCGTCTATTTTCTGGATTTCAAGAGCACGTGAGGAAGTATCGTGTGAATTACAAGGACGTCATTATTTATGATCACGAATACGGTGAAGGTTTGCGAGGGAATGAGAAGAAAAATTCAAAAGAAATGAAATTTCATCGGATAAGTTGCTCCGAAAAGTTTGAAATCTCACGTATCACAAAACACTGGAAGACTCCAGACTCAAAAAACGTTTGGACGTGCAGAAAAAAATAAGAAAGAGAATTGCTGAAGGACCATGAATGTTATGAATGTATTCATTTTCTGAATGTTTTGGGTGTGACGGGGAAGAGCGAAGTAATATCGTGCAAGAATGTTCGGGACACAAGGATAACAAACACAGACCTTCAACACCGCCAGGTTTGTGGAATATTGACTTCCCTGATTCAGAAAACTCAGGGGAATGAAACAATATGCATAGTTGCCTATATGATGTTGTTCTGATTGACATAAATTGTTTTATGAACCAATGAAGTATAAGAGAGAGAGAGAGAGAGAGAGAGAGAGAGAGAGAGAGAGAGAGAGAGAGAGAGAGAGAGAGAGAGAGAGAGAAAGAGAGAGGATAAATTTATGGTTGTGCGATCCATAATGTAGTGTCTCGTTAGGTATTGTATTTAGCGACAATTTTTTGACATAGGTATGTGTACGGAGTTCTTGGGGTTTGATGTGTATCAGCATGTTAGTCGAGAAAGATTTGCACGATGCAAGACGAGTAATATAAAATCTTATCGACAATCTCGATATAGCAAGCAAACGGTTGCATGCAGCAACAAAACTCGTTCGTAGTACGAACGCAAATTTGCAAGCATTGCATGAAGAGATTGGTGTACAAAAACAACGATTGCTAGACGAAGAAATGTCGCTTGAAGGAAAAAAACACAAAGTACTAATTGCAATCCGACCACATGTGGACAAGCTATATGTAAGACAACATTTATCAACTGCGGGGAATGGGGGGTGTAGTAGCGAGGGTCGGTGCCCCGTGTGTGGTCGCTATTCGATTGGGAGCACAATAAAGGCTTCGGGGTGACTAACATTCAAATTTGACAACACTATGTGATCATCACATACGTCGACGCGCTCAGTTACATTAAAAAAAACAATATCGTTTCGTTAATCGTGTACTATGATTGTCAGGGTGTAAGTGTAAAAGATCGATGACCTTCGCAAAATGGTGACTGTTTTGATTTGTATAAAGTCATTTGGATTTCGTCATGAATATTGTGTTGGTCATATCTATATTATAATGTGCACGAAGTCAATACCAGTATATCTTGTGTTCGGACATTGTAATGTTTTTTTTTTTTAACTAACTCTCTATGTATTTATCTATATATATATATATATATATATATGTAGCAGAAAGCTTACATGGTCCTCGGATATGGCATCCAGAATCATCAGATTATCGCACAGTGTGTACTTACCAGACAATCATGTGGCGGACTACTATTTTCTAACTTACCCTGTCAGAGCAGATGGTCTTGGTGGATTGTCCGCATTCGACTGGAGGGATAGGCTGGACACAAAGCACTAAGTCGTACTGGTTGACGACGACACCGCTGTGCGTTTTATGACTGAAATTTACTATTTTTGAAATTCGATCATACATATACGTATCGTACTTAGAAAAAGTGCGTCGTACTTCTCGACTAGCATTTTCCATGCAAGACATGGAGATGAACTTTTTGAAATCATGCATCCACTTCTCGTCGAAATTCGTCACAGTCACCGTGAGACATTGCGTCATGATGCCATATGAAGTGTATGAATGTGTCCGCCATACGTCGCTGGTGACATTACAGGTTTTTCAGATCGGCGACAGTCACTGCTTTCAAGAGAGAGAGAGAGAGAGAGAGAGAGAGAGAGAGAGAGAGACTTGGGGCAATGTTGAGAGCTTACTATTTTTGGAAGGACATCACTAAGATTGAATGAATTCTATAAGTTGCGTGATTGGGCAAGTATGAAACTGACATAATGAATATGCAAATCTTTGTTTCGTTGGTCTTAAATAGCAGATAGTTGGCACAGGCGACAAATTATCTCTTTCCGTTTACAACATTTTGTATGTTTGTGATGTGAATTGCTTCGTGGAATGTGGTGTAATAACATTTTTCCTTCTGTTTTTTTTTTTTTCCTCAGTTTTTTGAAAAAAAACAAAAAGAAAATCAACCACATTGCCGCGAACTATGAACCGCCGAAGACGCATGGCAAGTGTGCGACCCGACGCAATTGTTTACGGTAACGACACATACATTGATCCGTTTCGAGACGAAGAGTTAACGGAAGACGAGATAAGGAGACGATGGCCTGCAACGACTGCATTGTTGGAAGTTGTAGTGATGTTTGTCGGTCTTCAAGATGAGTTGCAAGAATGTATGAATCTACTAATTTGGTCGTGAAAATCTACAGACTAAGCAGAACCGCTTCAACAGTTACGTTGCATTTTCATGCCGGTGCGTATTTGTGAGATTTCGCCAGAGATTGCCACAAGAGTTTGAGGATGCAATGCGTTTATCATGGCCGGATACAAACCCGTGGGGTTTTCGACTGCGTCGTTCCGATCCACCAGAGAACGCGCTGCCACGTCGACGTGCAAGGCAGTAGATAGTATTTGAAGTCATTATGTCAGGTGCATGGGTTAGTATGCAGATAGTCCCTATGATTGATGATTTGTGTAAGGTCCATGAGTTAGTATGCAGTGTGTAGACTACTTGCGAAAGGTGAAATGAATCAATCTCTCGTACTTTGTGTAACACGAGTTATTAGACAATGGTGAGTAAGCATGAGACGCGGTCAACTCATCTCTGCAGTATTGTGTACGTTCCTGTTTTGTGACGTTTCAGGCACTATGATGTGATAGTCGTTGCACATCTTGTTTTGTTGTTGCACGTGTGTCTCTCTCTCTTTTTCTCCCTATCTCTACCTATCTATCTCTCTCTCTAGCTCTCTATCTCTCTCCCTCTCCCTCGTTCTCTCTTTCTCTCTTTCTCTCTCTCTCTCTCTCCCTCTCTCCCTCTCTCTCTCTCTGTCTCTCTCTATCTCTCAAGCACATGAGAAATAAAAGACACGAATTCATATATATATATATATATATATATATATATATATATATATATATATATATATACATATATATTCAAAACAATGAAAGAACGAAGAATGAGGAGAGCGAAACGGAAAGCAAATATGCAATCTAAACAAGACGATAAAAGATTTGAAAACAAACCCCTTATACTGTTAGCACATCAGGAGGCTGAAACAATACATACAAATGATATCCGCATATTCGAAGATACATTGAGTAGAAAGGGAAATTAGTCAATATGCAACTGAATGTCGTTGCCCTCCGGGTCAGAGATCGATGTATGCTCCCACTCATAACAGCCATTTCGTCAAAACGGACATATTATATTTTTTGAACGAAATCAAAACTGACCTTTTTTGCCAAAATCCGGTC